CATTATCAGGGAATTCTTTCTAAAATGACAAATTTGCAAACCTGAAATTGATAGCCACCAGCTGTGAAGTCCCTATCTGGGGGAACACTTGCACAGAGGGCTGGCTAGAGGCATCACTTACACTGTGTGCAAAACTGCACTAGATTATCTCTAGAACCTCTTCAGATTTCATGATTCTACGAGAAGTCCAGAAATGGAATTATTCTTGCTCATAACACTAACAAAGTTTAAAAAAAAAAAAAAAAGCCTAAAACCAGCAGCTTCTTTATTAAAAGGAGCAATCCTATCAAGGGACAAAGACTGACGTGTGAGTCAGACTACTTGATACGAAGAGACTGTTTTGCTTGGGACTGAGCATAGGTAAGAACAGGTGAATTCCAGCTACAGTCACTTCCCGTCTAGCCAAGAGCAAATGACTTCACTTCTCCACTTGAGCTGAAAAGCACCAATTAAAAATACCAATATTACAGGAGTAAAATTTAAATTAGTTAGCAACTACAAAATGCTTTGGAAATTTACATAACAAAACTGCATTATCCTACTTTACTCATGTACTAGGGCTGAACAGTGAAGTGAATAAAAATAAATAACAAGAGCCATGTCTCTCACCATCAGAAAAAGAAGTTACAAGTAAGCAAGGAAGGGAGTGCTAGAAGGAGCTCTGCGGTGCCGGGTTAGAGACGGAGAGACCAGTATGAGCACCTGTTCATATTTATACACAGAAATAAACAGAGGCGGTATGTGTGCATACCTGGGCCGATACACAGCATGCATTTCCTAGCTCTGTCCCCTAAGAGGGCCAGAAGTGGTGATGCCCCAGCAGCAAGAGCTACACCCAGTTCATTCAGAAACCAGATACGGTTTCTAAATTTTTTTCTCCAGTAAAAGAAACCAGAGTTCCTTGGAGAAATGGCTGATTCTAGGGCTGGGGTAGGAAAAATGCAAGATGAGACTGGAGCACCTTGCAATACCAGGAAGTAAAAGTGCTCCCCACCACTCAAAAAAAAGGACGTGTGAAAAGAACATAGATGCAAAATGGCTACAGCTGGAAGAATATGAGCAACAAACTATAGTAATGGATTACAACCCGAAGGAAAAAAACTCAGGAATCCATACTGATACAAATGGCTGAATAAATATTGGCGGAGAGGTACAAATCCTCCACAGAGAAGAATTCCAAATGATAAATGTAGAAGGAAAGAGGGAACTAGAAAACCACCACTAGTTAATCATTGCTGCTGCAGACAAGTGTCCCTGATGAATACTAAAGTCAGAGGATGGCACTTACAGGAAAAGTCAGATCTCTGTGTGGCCCCCCAGAATCGCCCCCAAAACATTTATTAACCACTACAGGCGATTTTAACATATGCTCACAAATCCCGAATACTTGCCCCTTCAGGAAGCTGAGTTAAAGTCCCTTCCCCTGGCGTGTGGGCTTGACTTGGTGACTCATTTCTAGCTTCTAACAATTAAGGAAACAAAAAAAATAGACACTTTGGTGAAACCAGGCAGACATTACTTTATTAAGTCATGTTAACAAAGTTATTATCAGTATAAATCATATTGGTATCAGGTATCCCGATATGAGCTACGATGTGTCACAAAGGGCAACATCTCTATGGTTTTTTTCCTTAAAATACACAACCTCAGGCTAATCATAAGAAAACATCAGAAAACCCTAATTCAGGAACATTCTACAAATAACTGACACTGTTCTTTAAAGGTGTCAAAAAAGGCAAGAAGAAACCAAGAAACTGTCACATTTTGGAGGAAACTAAGTGAAACATAACATCTGAATGTAATGTGGTAACCTGGGCTAGATCCTTCCTGTAATAGAAAACAGGTATCAGTGTGGAAAAATACAGAAAAATCAGAGGAAAATCTGCATTCTATTTAATAAGAGCAAACTAATGTTAATTTCCTAACTTTGACAACTATATAATGGTTATGTAAGATAGTAACATTAAGGGAAGCTAAATGAAGGGTATAGGGAAATTTTGCACTATCCTTATAACTCTTCTGCAAATCTCAAATTATTTCAAAATAAAAGATTTTTTTAAAACTGCATTTTCCTGGAAACATTAGAAAGAACAAGTAAACATTATAAATTTTAAATGATATTTAAATATGTAGAAACTAGTAAGATGGGTTTTATTGTGAGATTAACTTTTTTAATCTATACAGAATCCCAGCAGCCCTGACTGGTGTGGTGCAGTGGGCTGGGCACCGCCCTGCGCACCTCGGAGTGGACCAGCGGACTCCCAGGCAAGGCACACGCCTAGGTTGCGGGCCAGGTCCCTGGTTTGGAGGTATGTGAGAGGCAATCAATCTCCAGATTCGTTTCTCTCCCACATCGATGTTTTTCTCCCTCTCTTTCTCCCTCCCTTCCCCTCTCTCTAAAAATAAATAAATGTTTGTTTAAAAAAAAAAAAAAGCGAAGTGACCTATCTTGATATTGGTGGGAGGTTCAAACCACACAAGCCCCTTCACATACATGGGAGCACTCACTCTCACCTCATCCTATAACCTAAATAAAAGCCTGCTAACCCACCTCATCCTGTATCCAGAATGAAAACCTGTAAACAAGTGTCCTCCACTGGTCTCAAGCCACTTTGGACAAGCTTGAGAAACCTGTCCAACTCTCCCCTGAAAGCCTTCCTATGCAAGTAATAAAAGCAGTCATACCCTCAAAAAAAATAAAAATAAAAATAAAGATGAGCTACCAAGACAAGAAACTCCTTCGATGTCAGCAAACAATGGAAAAGTGACTTTTTAATATGAAATATAACTTACTTGTAAGGTTGGAAATTTTAACACAGGTACATATATGCTGGATGACAAACACGAAGTGATGGCTTAAAAAACACAACTGAGACAGGGGGAAAGCGTATTAAAAGCCCTCCCTCCCCACACTGTGAAACATTGTTAAATGTTTATACAATGAAGGGAGGCTCACTAGGCTTCTGCAACTTGATTAAAATAGCCCCTAAGAACATCCAGTGCCCTTCATTCCAATTCTATAATCAACTGCCTTCTTATTACTGATTAGGCTGCCCAAAAACAAAGGCGGTGTCCTGGCCAGTAGATAATTAGTTCCAGTTGCGTACATGGCACTTCATACTTTCATCATAAATAAAATTGGTATCTGGTTTATCAGTCTCCAGTGAGTTTACTCTGCATGAATAAATTCTCAAGCGCTTGAATCACTCCTGTGTAAACCAAAAATTTTGAGTTTCTAAACTACTGTGTAGGGGGTGAGAGAGACATTGATCTGGATGCCCCTTCTGCCATTTAAGTATGTGTGACCTCTTATTCCTGCCAGTCTCAATTTTCTCATCTGTAAATAAACACAGACAACTAGTGCCTGGAAGATGGCGACTGCTCAAAAAGAGATGGCTTTATTATTTTGAAGCTAAATTTGAAAGGAGGAGCGTAACATTTCTCTTGAAAAGGAGTATGGACTATCCAAGGACACCCATGTAAAAGACACCTTACAAAGCTGGAAAGAGCAAAGCTAAAAAGTTGCAAGTAAAGTACCTGCTGTACTGTACATATGGAGAGTCTCTTGCTTAGCAACTCTTAATGTTGTCTACCAAACACCCCGCCTGTAACCGTGAGAGCATGACAACTGTTCACCCTAAATCCATGTGCTCAGCTTGGATTCAGGGCTGATTTATAAAAATAGCTGCTGCCGCGGCTGCTCTTTCAATCTCTTTCAGCTGATGACTGGGCAGTGTTACCCTATAGGCCTAGAGCAGCTGTATTCCCTCACCACACCCTTTTCTCTGCCTCCCCAGCCCGGCAGACGGCACCCCCCTCCCATCTCGGCAGCATGCTATTCTCCCTCTTCCTGGGCTGAGTGAGCAAATTACAAGCACAAATATCCCCTGATGCAATGCCACAACCATCCCTGGGAAAGAGCAGAGGCAGTTGCCAAAAGCTCAGCAGCAGGGAAATGGGCGGGAGACACACACACACACACACACACACACACACACACACACACAGCAAGAAACACTGCAATGCTATGCAGCCAGGGAGAGGGAATCGAGAGGCCCTGGGGAGCAACGCTGTAACTGAACCAGAGGAGGGAAAGGAGGAGAAAAGGGGCTTTCCAGGAGAAAGCTGGGTAACACTAGTCTTCCCGAGAAGCACGTTTCACCCTGGGTCTGGCTCCTAAAACACAAACCTTAGAGTAATCACTCACTGCCTCCTCCCAAATGCGCTTAATCTGCACGTTCTTGGATGCAAGCAAAACCCCAACATTCCCCCACGGGGTAATTTCACTAAAGAAGCGCTCAGGCAACAACCGCGGAGAAGCTGGTCCATGTGCTAAGTCACAATCTCGGTTCTGGGTAACGCTTCCAACTGCCCTCCTTGTCCCTGTCCCCATCCTCCCATCCCAACCTTACTGCGTCCCCTCCGCACTCGCTCAGCCAGACACTTGCTCAGTCCCCCCAAACAGTGCCGGGGCCCACGCACGCCGGGAGAAGACAGCCCCGGCCGGGGCCCGGTTCTCCAGCCCACCCTACTAACCCCCCCTCCCCCAAATAAAACCTGACTAGACGCCCTTTCCAAGGCTCGCTTCAGCCCCACCTCAACTGGCCCCAAAAATCCTCAAAGAACGACCTCTGCGTTCCCCAGCGTCCCCGAGCCCCGCCCAGGGCCCCGGACGGCAGCGGACCCTTGCTCCCCGGGCTCAGCCCCATCCCGAGCCTGAGGCATGCCTATCGGCCCTACCGCTCCAGACACCCGAAGACCGACCTCTCAGCCCGCCCCGCCCCGCGGGCCCCCACGTCGCGCCTAGAAAGCTCGGAAGATTACGCCCACAGGCCCCTCGCCCGGTCATCCCCGCGTCCAGCAGGCCGGCGGCCACCGCCCTTCCCCGCTCCAAGTGGGCCCTGCGGAGTCCCGGGCGACCGCCGGGCGAGGTTCGGGCAGCCCCCGTGACAGTGGAGAGCCCGCCCCTACAATCAGGCTCTGCCAGCCGCTGCACCTACCCGCCGCCACCGCGCCGAAGCCGGAGCCGGAGGGAGCCTGGAGAAGGGCCGGGAGGAGCCGGGAGGAGCCGGGAGCCAGAGAGCGAACCCGAGGGGCGGGGCACAGGGAGGCGGCCGCTTCCTCGTTGCCCTCTTCAGGGCCGGTGCGTAGGAGGAGCGCCGCCACCGCCTATCCTGCAGGCGCCGCGGATCCGGCCAATAAGCACGACGAGGGGGCGGGCGGAAGGCCGCGGCGGGCCAATGGGCGCCGGCCCCACCGCCTCGACCTTGCAGAGGTAGCGGCGCGAGCGGAGGGCCGTTGGGGGCGAGGTACGCCTGCGGGAATTACAGTTCTTTTCTCCGCCAGTTAACGCGGAGGCCCGGCGGGCAGGCCCGCCGCCCCGCTGTTGTGTGATACCGTCGCTCCCTCGTAGAACTTAGGTGCTTGGAGCGGGGAGCAGGCGAGGGGCGGGGGCCAGGCGCACGCGGCCGGGGCCGGGTACCCGCGCTGGCCGGGCCTGTGGGCTCTGTGATGTAACCTGGGCGGGGCGCGGGGTGGGGTCTACGGCGCGGGCCAGCTGGGGGGCCTTTCCGGAGCAGCTAGACCACGCGCCGCGAATGACGTGGCTGGTCCAAGTTGGTGTGTGTTGTTAGTGTAGAACATATGCCATGTTTGGGAGACTTACTACCAAAAGTATATAAATATATTTTTCATTCACAAATATACAATTCTTCATTCACAATTCTTATATTGATTATAAGTCGGGTAATTGATTACAAAATTGATTATAGTTTTGGATATATTTGGCTAAATAAAATATATTTAAAATAATTAAATGTTTTGGGTGGTTTGTTATTTTTTTTTAATATGGCTACTAGAAAACTTAAAATTACTATCTGGTTCACATTGTATTTCTGCTGGATAACATTAGTCCAGAATGAAAAATGACAGCTTACACCTATTGAGTGCTTTCGATGTTCCAGGCCCTCTCCTAAGTATGTGACACCTAATAACTCATTTAATCGTCACAGCAATCCTATATGGTTGGTATTAATGTTCTCATTCTCATTTTACAGATGGGGAAACAAACAGAACTCTAGTACCTACCTGATGTCAGCAAGCCAGTATCGGCACAGTGGGGCTTTTAACTCAGGCAGTCAGGTCCTAGAGCCACACATACTCAACCTCTAGAGCTGGCTGGTTAACACTGGACTTCGTTGAAAGCCCTGATTGGAGGTCTGGCTCTGCTACTTTCTATTATAGCTGTGGAACCTTAGGGAAGTTAAGCTTCAGCTGCCTTACTTATAAAAATGTGATATTATAGTCACCAGCCTCTCTCATAGTCACTGTTTGGGTGACCTAGAGGTAGTACACTGAGGTTGATAAACTTGGACTTTGGACCTGTACTCTCCGTGTGCAAATCTGCACGCTAATACTTAGAAGTCCTTTGGACTTGTAGAAAATACTTAATCTCTGTACCTATTCTGCAATTGTAAAGTGAGTAATAATGGTATCTACATCATTAGGATTTTTATGTGGGTCAAATGCGTTAATATATGTAAAGTACTTAGATTGATGCCTAGCACTTAGCAAGCACTTGTAGAGTGCTATCAGTATGATTATAATGAAGTGTTGACAGCATGTACAAATATGAAGGGATGAAGAGTAAAAGGATGAATGGAAAAGGTATAGAACTATGAACTTGGAGCCCTGAAAAGGACTTTCAGCCAATTACAGAGAACTGATAGGACTGGTACAGGTCACACACCAATTGAGGAGCCAAGTGCCTTGGGCCCAAACTCACACCCAGGCTCCAAAGGAGGGGAACTGCTATTGCAAGCCTGAATTCATTCATCCACCAGATGCTGATTGAGCACCTGCCCATCAGGGAGGGCCATGCAGGGACACTGGTACAAAGCTGAATAAGAGGTTTCTGTGCTGGTGAAATTGGCATTAATTCACACCTAAGCCCACAGATTTTGACTAGGCATGAACTTAAGTTGCAAGAAAACATAGGTGGGAGCTTAAAAAAAGTCACATTGATCCTTTCCGCTGCTTGGAGTAGCCAGCCCCAAGGCCTGTGTCTGGCTTCATGAATGGAGCTAATTGGCTTTGAGCTGGTTACAAGTCAGACAGCTAGGAAAAATCAGAAGTGTTGGAATCCACCGTTCCTTCTTTAAGGTAACAGTCACCATGTTGCGTGAATCCAAGCTAGACACCCAGGAGGCATTGTCAGTCACCCCGTTCCTTCTCTCCACTCAGGCCTACCACATGCTGCCTCTGCCTCCCGAACGTCTCCATCGCCCCCGATGCTGCTCCACTTCGGTCCCTTTTGCCTGGACACATCACAGCCACCTCTCAGCCCTCCCTCCACCCCTGCTTCAGTCCAGGTTTCACAACTTCTGCACCACCCCCTCCCGTCCATGCACACCCTCCTGCACCCCTGACCTGCCTCTGTTACGGTACCCACCACGTACGTGGTGATTATTTGCATAAATGTGGGTCTGCCCTAATAGATTATTTCTTGATATACAGGTTCATTGTTTTCCCATCGCAAGTGGGAAAGGACATTCCTTGCAGCTCCCGGGCACCCAAGATTTGAACAGCATAGATGCCCAGCATCTCAAAGTTGGAAAGGATCTTAAACATCCAGTCTCATGTTTAAGGATATGTTCTTGAGGCTCTGCAAGTTCACAAAACAACATTTTAGAGTTGTCCAATGTATTTTTGTGCTTGAAAAGCACAATGTATATTTATTCATCCAAATTTTGACCAAAATGTTACGCAGGGCACAGCCATGAGCAAAGTCCAATGGCTTACCATGGAGACTTTTCTCCTGTTCTGTGTAAACTTCTTCGGTAGCTTTCCATTGTATAAAATCCTGAAAATGGCTTTTAAGACCCTGTCTGATGATGCTGTCTCTCTCACTTGCCCCGTCATCTTCCTTATTTGTCACTATGCCCAAAACCATCTGCCTTCTTTGTTTCTTGAACTTTTCCCTCTCAGGAACTTCCTCGTGCCGTTTCCTCTGCCTACCCTAATTTGTAGGTAATATGATTTTCTGTATTAAAAACCTGGGAAGGCCACAAACAGAATTCATAAAAGCTCAGCGAGATTACTAGATGCAAATTTAACATACAAAAAGGAATTAGTATTCCTATATAGCAATGATCAATTACAAAACGTGATATAAAAAAAGATCTCATTCACTACAGTGAAATAGTAAAATCAATATGGTACTTAAGGAATAAGAACTATATAAGACTCCTATAGAAAAACATAAAACTTCACAACTTTTAGAAGGAAATATAGGTATTATCTTGGTGCTTTCAAGATTGGAATCCCTGGTTGAAAATACACAGCTTCTACATACTAATTTTTATCATCATTTATGATGTTTATAATCAAATTCCATGGGGAGAGGGAAATATAATTACATGGATTAGAATTTGAATAGGATAGGGTCAAGACCCCTTTTGGGGTCATTTGGCCCAAGACTTTTTCAGGTGAGGTATCTGAGACATGTCAAGGACCCATAAGAAAGCAGCAGAATCAGACTTGAACCCATTTTCTGACTCTAGGAAGCCGCCTGTCAAACCCACCCTTCTTTCATTCGTAAAATGGTAAAGGATAGTGATGCGGCAAACATGGACTAACAGCTCAAAAGCACCCTGCTTCCTCCTACTTTAGTTGCTGAACGCTTAAACCACCCATCTACCCAGACTCCTTTGCAGTTGTGATGGCTATGTGCCTCACTGATTGGAGCTTTCAGGTAAGGCTTTATAAAAAGACAAACTCAGTTGTATTTCTTCCACTTGCTTGGAATATGGACACAATGCCTACAGGTGCATGAGGCACCCGTCTTAAGAAGGATAAAAGCCATCAGCTGAGGGTGAGGAAAAGAGGGGGAGACTAGGTCCTTAGTATCCTTCAGCAGCTACCCTAATCTTTCACTGCTCACCTCTGGACTTCCTGTAAAGTGAGAAAAGTAGCCCACGTCTCTAAAAGCCATTGTTAGTCAATACATCTCCATTGGTGTAAGCCACGGTTACTCTTTATTTGCAGCCAAATGCAATCCCACCTGGTACCTGGGGTAAAAGCCCTGGACTACAAGTTGAGAAACCCTATTACAGCCCCGGCTTTGCCAGGAACAAACTGTGTGGCCTTGGGCAAGCCATTTCCCATCCCTGGGCCTCAGGTTCCTCCCCTCTGTCAGGGGAAATAGAGTGAGATGGCCTCTTCATCTCCCGTTTTCTGGCTTGACTGTGCGTGCTGCGTATAATGCAGAGCGGGACTTCCTTTCTCTCAAAATAAGACTACTGCCTTCAACGTTTACTAAGTGTTTCTTTTTTCCTGTGACCTCAGGGCTAATCACAAGGGTCTGTTCCTTTTCAGTGAATGCGATGAAACACACACCTTTGTGGCTTTTCCTGAATGCAGCCCAACTCCCTGTTATTCTCTCCCTTTAGATAGTTTCATTTACACACCCTAGAGGGAGCCCAAAGCGGGTTCTACTCTAAAACCAGTGGAACACTGTGCCCACCTCTGCCCTAAACCTGCCCTGTAACTTCTCCTCTTAGGGCCTCACATCCATCGCTGTGAAATGAGAAGGCTGCAGACCCTCAAAGGGCCACCAAGCCCGAGCATTCTAACGCTCAATTACACCTTCTAAATTTCATCTCACATTGGGATACAGCTTCCCAGGTGCTCAGTGCTTTGCTTTCTGCATTGCAGGTTGGGCTTTCTGTTTCTCTGAGACAGGCAGAGCCAGTGTTATCATCCCTCTTTTGAAGAGGGTGAAACAGATGCGGGAACATGGGGTGATATGCGCAAGATCACACAGTTAATAAGTGGTAGATCTGGAACTAGAAACGACTTCCTTTGGTTCCTTGCTCAGTACTCTTTCCACAACACCTTGATTTTTTTTTTTCCTGTTTTTTTTCTCTCCAGGATCCACTTCCTGGCTACAAGCCATAACTGCTCTGAGCTGTGGTCTCAAGACTGCTCATAGTAATACCCTCAGTTCCAGGTACTTGTCAGGCTCAACGGACACCTGGCTGTCCCCCAAGTCTTCTTCCATCCTCTGTTCTGAGCCTTCAATCCCAGTATAACCCCCTAGTTCCTTTCCAGCTCTGA